GATCCTGCATTTTAACTTTGATCTAGATATATTTAGTTACAGGAAAAATGCACTCAAATTAGATTCTCTTCAGTTCTCCCTCTTAGTACCCTTCAGCTGATACATGTATTTTAGAAATGGGTTACCACTTAGCCTCATGGAGTTTGTTTGAGTTTTGTTTTCAAGTTTAATGTGCTTTGTGTTCACTATGCATTCCCTTGCCGGCTGGGTATTTCCCTCTCTCTAAGCCATACACCTCTGAGTCAATGGTTTGCTGCACTTCCTCATGGGCTGGAAGTGAGGGTGGAGAATTTGGAGGGGAGGTAAAGATAGGAGAAGACATACTGGTTGTCTGTTCGGCAGTCAGAGGCTTGCTCTCCCTCCCGTGGTTCACGGCAAAGACTTTGAAGTAATAGGTGACCCCAGGGGACAGCCCGGTGACTTCTGCGAAGGTGTTCCTGCTGATGGGCAGCCTCTGCCCGTGCTCCCCAGGCAGGTTGACGGGGATCACATCCACGCGGTAGCCGGTCACTGCACTCTCAGGCGGTGTCCACATGATGGTGACCTTCACGTCTGTCACTTCCACAAACTGCAGGTCCCTGGGAGAGGGCACTGTATCTAACAGACAAGAGTCAACCAGTCATTCACATTTTCTGCTGAAGATTATTTTTAAGAAGCCAGTTTCTGGGATATGATAGGCAGTTCACTGAGCCTCTCATTCAAGAGTTTTGCTAAGTTTTGTCTCTTAATCAGATCATATTTTCATGGCCCAGTCATAGTGCTTAAATTATGACATTTGAACCTTTTGTCTAAAATAGTTAGGTAATAAATGAGTTACCAGCATATGAAGTGTCATATGATGGTGAGGGGAGAGGGTTATAAGAAAAGATACTAAAAAACAAAACAAAACAAAACAAACAAAAACCTTTGAAATAACTGCAGAAAATAATGTAATGGTTTTTGTTTTACTGAATCATTTTATAATACTTAAGAATCAAAGATGAAATGACCCTTGAGCTTCTGGGAGAAAATTTGTAGACGGACGTTATGGTGTTGGTTTTTAATAAGAAAGGCCAGTAGCCAGCTTTGATAAGTTACTTATGACATTTCAGCTAAACATCAGAAGTTTAGGGGAAAACTATTGCATAAGATTATTTGAATGTGGGAACTATTGACAGAGACAAAACCACCCCCCCTCAGGAACAATCTTGATAACATAACATAGGAAGTGTCTTCTTAAAAAAGTTACCTGAACGTGGGGTGCCAGTGGTTTCTTGTTGAATGAAAACAGGTGTACTTTCTTGATTCTCTTCCACAGCAAAGATAGTGATGTTATACTGAACGCCAGGTTGCAAGTCACTGAGGGTGACGGAGTTTGCAGTTTCAGGAAGGTTGAGTTCTGTGCTGCTGCCTTCTACTGACGGTGAATAGACTATTCTGTACCCTGCAGATGGATCAGCAACAGTTAGATGCACTGTTTTCTTTGAGACCGAGGCTTAGAAACACCATAAATCCTCCCTTTTTGAATATTCCTTAGCATCTTGCTTGATTAGTGAAGAGCCAGTGATTCTTTTTGACTCTTTTAATATTGCCACTTCTTATAATAATGACTACTCAGCACGAAGATAAAATAAGAACAGTCATGCAAACCTTGTTAATAATAAATGTCATCCTTGAAGACCTGAGATCCTTAATAAATGTCAATTAGAGATGCCATTAGGTGAAAATATTCATGTTAAGCTGATTTTTCCTCTTTGAGCTCCAGATGAGGGAAGCAATTAATGAGCCAGCCTGAGCAGAGTTGTCTAGCACTGTGTGTGTCTTTTTGGAACTTCAGTGATGAGGCAGTTGAATCACCTAATGAGCTAAGATGGCAGCTCAGCTTTCTCCTTAAGGATAAATCTTAGAGCAAGGTTTTCAGGAAAATTACACCTCTTCAACCCTGGGAACACTTGCTTTAATAAGCCAATGAGCTGGCTTTACAGGTTGTGTGTATGTTGTGGTGTATGTGTATAAGGGAGTTGGTAAAATGGTTTCGAGGGGAAATGTGCCATAGAAAATAACTCCCCCCGACACACACACACACACACACACACACACACACCTCTCTCCCCTAAATTATATTGGAGATTTAAAGTGATATGCAGATCCACAGTCAGAATCTGCGCCCTCCCTGTTGATGTCATTAAGATTAACATAGCAGCCAAAGAGCGGGAGGCTCAGCTGACCTGTGATGGGAGCCTGGGGTCTGCTCCAGCGAACAACAATTGAGGTGTCATCAACTTGGTCCACAGTCGGGTCAGGAGGGGCATCAGGCGCTAAGAAAGAAGGAAAGTGGGGCAAACAGTCAGGAAGTGCTCCTACAGGCCTGTGTTTTACAGAAAAAGATTCTTTTAACACTATGTAGCACACAGGTACCTGTTGTTTGTGAAGTAGACAGGATCAAACTCTGCTCCCCATCCTCAGATATCTGATAGACATTTACAATGTATTTTCGGCCGGGAAGCAGGTCAGGGATGTTCACGGAAGTGGCTGTGCTTGGAAGATCTTTGAAATGAAAAGACAAGGTAACTAATCGGAGCAAACTAGTTCCTCAAATGACTCTACAGCTTATAAGAAGGATATTTTAAGAACTATATATTCATAGGGAAAAATGACTGAAGGTAATGTGCTAATAGATAATCAGTGATTATTATTTTTATGGAGTCTTGCTGTGTTGCCCAGGCTGGAGTGGAGTGGTGCGATCTCGGCTCACTGCATCCTCTGCCTTTTGGGTTCAAGCAATTCTTCTGCCTCAGCCTCCTGAGTAGCTGGGATTACAGGTGCACACCACAACACCTGGCTAATTTTTTTGTATTTTTATTAGAGACAGAGTTTCACCATGTTGACCAGGCTGATCTCAAACTCCTGGCCTCAAGTGATCCACCAGCCTCGGCTTCCCAAAGTGCTGGGATTATAGGAGTGAGCCACTGCACCCCGCGTAATCAGTGATTATTAATGTACTATGGGAAAACCCCACTCCTTGTCTTTCTCCTTTCTCCTCTTCCTCCTTCCTTTCATTTTTTCAACTTTTTCTCTAAAGATGTGTAATTTTTGTAATCTAATGCCAAATTTTTAAAAATAGCTCTCTGCAGTAAGAAGTCAGGGTAGTGATTATTGGTGGAAGATGATGTGGTCGGGATAGACAGATATTCTTTTTCTTGATCCGGGGGCTGGTCTTGTGGTGTGTTCACTTTATAAGAATTCAAATTCACTGAACTCAGTGCTTACGATTGGCACACACTTCAGTGTGCCGATAAAGTTTTTTAAAGGCCCCTCACCATAACTATTTGAAAAGTATGAGTGACGATACTGTGCTAACATTGTCAGCTGCAGTCCTGGTAATTGCTTCCACCAAGAAAACAGCTTTTGCTGTAGAAACTTGTGCCTAGGTAGGCACATGATGCAGCTGGCATCAGGGACCAGGAACATGTGAGGGTGGCTTGGGAAAAACCCGGCCACTTCATAGAAAGAGTCAGTCCTTTCCTTCCTCATGCCGGAGGCTGGTTTGTTCAGTCTGAGCTGTCAGCCAATTCCAGACCACAGAGACCACCTGCCTAGAGGCCCCTCCCAGTGAGAGTTTTCCAGCAGCTGCCCCAAACTGGTCTTGAGCGACATATTGCGCTTACCCAAATACTGTGGCTCATCTCCCTCCTCACTCAGCTCATATTCCACCCGGAATCCTGACACGGTGTCGGAAGCTGAGACCCAGGAGACCACAAAGCTGCTGGCTGTGATTTCAGTGACAGATTCAGAAGTGGCCACAAGGGGAGAAAGGGGAGTTGTCTCTCCTGTCACGGTGTTGCCTAGAG